GTAGACCCAGGTTAATTTTGATTCTAACCATTTCCTGGTTATATACCGTTTACTAAGGAGAACCAGGAGCTGCAGCAAGAAAGTACACACTCTTTTGAAAATGCCTTGACAAAATATTACCTGACCAGCCCTGCTACAACTCAACACACTCAAATCCGGCCATCTTCTTGACCTTGTTAGTCCCAGAGGCTATCTCCCACTGCCCCTGTGAATCCCACCACCTCTCCTGCATGTCGTCTCCCATCACCGCTCAGCTGATCCATCTGGAGGCCACTGGCACCGGCTCTCGCTGCGGTTTTACAACTTTAATGGAGTGAACATGAATATGAACTGCCGCTTTCGGGAGTATACTGTACATGCGTGTGACTGTGCTTTGTTATTTTAAAAGATAGGAGTGGAACAATCTCAACAAGTGAAAATAGACAGGGCTGGGCTCAAGATTTAGTATTTCTGGGTCTGGCTCTTTGTGACCTCTGCTAATGACAGCGGAGGCTCTATCGTGAGTCACTAATATCCTCTTGAGAATGTCATACACCCACTCGTTAGTCATTGATAAGAGAGAAAGCGGGTTTTTTTTTAATGCTGCTGCTATGTGCCGTGCAAAATTAAGAAAAGACCACAGGGTTTATCTCTATGTGTTATAATATTAATTGTCCTGCCGACGGCTCTAAAGAGATAAAGGTTGAGGCGTTATTAAAGAACAACACTGGAGGAGTTGTCTTAGTGGTGACATCATGTTCTCCAGAAGCAGCTGTGTTTGCTCAATAGCCCCGAGCACCGACGATCCGGGCCACTCACTAGAATCAGCAAATAAATTAGAGAAAAGTAAATATGAGGAATGCTGTCTCACAAAAATCCCTTTCCTTTCTATTGTTTTTTCTGCTAATCGTACGTCTCCTATGATTTGCGTCTTGTTGGCATCAAAGGGAGTTTGTTCTATACATGTTATCCATTCAAGTTTTGGCTTTTATTTTAGACCCACATGGAGGAAACACATACACACACTTACAGCATTGGACAGGTGAGTTCAGCACCATGGACAGTGACCAGGTAGGCCCACACCTTACAGGAGAGCTATTCAAACTATCTTTCCCAAGGGCTGAATGGCCTGGATGCCTATGTCCTCTGGTCTGGAAACTTGTACGACACATCACCAGTTTGAACAGCAACAATAACGAACAAAATATCTAGTTTAATTATAATAATCTTTCTGTGGAAGATAATTCCACAGAAACCAGTACAAAATTCTAGAACTGGGTCACTACCGACTAGGACTTAAAATTGTGACTGTACTTGAAGACTTTTTTGCATGCTCCATTTGGGATATGTCATATATCCAAAAGTACTATAACCAATGTACTTGCTAAAATCATTCACTGCCAATCTTTGATCACTTTTTGCAGTGAACGTGGGCTGAGGGCCGAATTGAATTTACTACAGAAAAACACACAATATTACCCAAGAAGTAATTAAAACCCTCATAACATACAATTATAAATAGCCACATTGCACTAAAAAGAGTAGAGAAAAAATAAGTCAGTTTTATACACAGCTAAACTGTTTTTAACCTAGATTTGAAAACTGCCAGAGTAAGCGCCTGTCTCACTTTCTCAGGACGACTTTTCCGGATTTTAGCTGCATGAATCTTAAAAGCAGCCTCCCCATACAACTATATATTACTTGCACTAGAATACACAGTACTTTATACTTGCTGTCTAGAGTTTGACATTTTTTATTTCATTTTTTTGAGTATATACATAGTTATTATTGTTCATTTTGCTTGTGCTGTGTGCTCCTCATTTCTACTGTTCTGAAACTGGTGATGCAACATTGAAGTTTCCCCACTGTGGGACGAATAAAGGATTTCTTAATGTTAATAAGTGGTCTTTGCGTGCTGTACTACGGCTACCACTGCTCCTGACAACAGTGGTAGCCGGTAGAGAACACATTTCCCTATAATGATTTTAAAGTGGTCTCTCTCTATCTTCAAAAAGGAATATATTACTGTTATATGTTCGAAAAGTAACACCGAACACTGCATGTATGAACCCATGTACACATAGTCTGCTTTAGGATGTGTCGATGCACCTCAGGGACCACAATGCACTGTACTATCAGTCTGACTGGCCTAAACGCTCACATAATCTCATATTCTTTATTTCTTATATTTCATATCTTTATATCTTTGGTCATGTGACCAGGGACTGCATATAACCTGGGGCAGAACATATCTGTCTTTGAGCTTAATGTTGCTGTGCACTGTCCATCTCAAACAAAGACTGAACTGTTACCAAACCCCAAATAAAACATCTCTGCAAACGTGAATATTTTGTATGTGGACTGGAAGCCACACTCATCCAAATGAAAACAAATAAAGACTATAGGATAAGTGACTTTGCGTGTAAGGGGTTTGCATTTAAACGATATTCTTATGTTTTAAGTTTCACCTGTATACAATTCAAAAAGTGATAAAAGTAAAAAATTGCTAAATTGGCATAATGTGTCTTAATTTCAGCACATCTTGACTGCCTTAAACAAGATCTTGTTTCAAAAAGATACAAGACATGTCTCCCTTGGAATGAGAAAAAAGTTCTTGAAATGAGACTAAGTGGCTTTGTCCCATTGGCAAATCTTGTTTTAAGACGGTCAGAATGTACCCGTAACCCAAAATAAGATATAAACCACTCAATTCAAGCATATTACCTCATATATTATATGGTCGAGTCAGCTTATACTCAAACCATCCCCATCTTTATGATAAACAAAAGTGTTTAATGGTAATGACTTCCCCACATCAGCAGTCAGAGGCCGGGGAAGCCTCAGGTTGTGTGAACGCTGCTCTCAGGCCTCATAGATGTGAATGGATGTTCACTAGTGTTGTGACCTCTGAACCCGTCTGACCCTTGTTTCCTGAAGCAGATGCAGCTCCCGTGGACCACAGCCTTCTTAAACTAAACAAAGTAATCCTCCACTAAACAAGATGGATATTGTATCAGCGCTGCAGTAAATACCAGGACAGCAGCTTTATGCCGGGGCACGGCCGGTCCTCCGCACTGATGGAAGCTCAGGGGATAATCACGCTGTTGTTTCTGCAGCTGAAATATGCTTCTGTTACATAAGACTTTGCAGCAGTCATAAAGAGCTATAAAAACAGCACAACATCCCCTGGTGGACTGTAACATAACACACAGGCATCAAAGGCAACAAAACACACGATATGAGCAGAGGGAAAGATGGTAGAGTCACATCCAAACCATAAACAATGGAATTTGGAACATTTTTTTTGCTAAAGCTGCGGAAGGTAACTATTTTTTTTCATAAACAATACATTTTTTGTACAAAGTGAAAGAGTAGGTGAAAGTGACATTTTGTGAACTTATCAGAGCAAATAGAGCAGTTTGGCTCTTTATTTGCTTTTCTGTATGAAAAAGCTGATCTAAAGACGTTACAGAGGAGAAAATGATATGCTTATGAAAGTGATAAAACCAAACTGTGTTGTGAGCCAGGATTATGATGTGGTTTGAAAGTTAGGTACCCCAGCTTTAAAGGTGCATTATGCAACTGTACTGAGCTGCTGGTTGCTCGATATGTCATTGCTTTGAATGCTCAGTCCAGTTTAAAACATTCTTCAACTAATAGATATTTTAGAGCTTAAAAAACTGAGTTCTTATTGTGAGAAGACACGTCTCTCCAGAGATAAAACATATAGCAGAGCAGAGTGATGTCACATAATTGATTCCACTGTAAATGGAAAGTTTAAAGTCAAACTGTGCAAAATTCCAGACAAAATACTGAGGTGGACAAAAGCAAAAGGTAGAGTTTCTACCAGCAGGACAATTGTGGAATGCTGGCTGCAGTTGTCTTAATCCCTCTGGTATCATGCAGCATGTTGTATCTGGAGAACCACACTTTCAAGCAACACACAATTAACTATATGTAACAAAAATCAATCAAAGGTGTTTCTAGATCTCAAAACAGTTTGGTCTTAACAACGTACTTTTAACATTCTATATTCTTGGCTTCAGACACATCTTTAGATCATCTTTCTAAAGGGAAAACAAGAGGACCAATCAGCTCTCAGCCCAAACTGTTATATAGTGAGTCACAGGGTTCTTATGAAAACAATAACATGATCAGATGAAAAGAGCAAATTGTGATCTGACTTGCTCACACCATTCAACAGTAGAACTCCATGAGCAGTCAATTTGACGCTTTTAGTTAACAGGATTAAATGTAATCCTGTACTGATTCTGGACTGGTCCTGCACTGGTCCTGGACTGGTTCTGGTTCTGAACCGCTTGGTTTTCCATCAGAGGGGACCATAGTTACGAAGCAACACACTGTTTAGCACTTGGCAACTTTTCAACACACTGTTTTGCTGATGTACCAACCTGTTTTAACAGTTTTAGTTCAAGTGTGAAAAGGTTAAAACTAAACATTTTTAGGGAGGATTTCTCTGTCTCATTGGTTTGAATGGGGGCAGTCAAAATGACGGCTCTGGGAGTTCTAGTCGTTTAATATTTCTGGGAGTCTTAGTATTAACTTTTCCTATTTCTGTTGGACCAGCATGTATCCGCATGTATAATTTATGGTAGGAAAATCAGGTACCCCAGCTTTAAGTGTATTCTACCCCGCTGTGTTTACTCAATGGTGCACTGTCTTCATGATCTATATACAATCTTCCTGCGGTTATCTTCCAGTGCGCGCTTCAGTTCCTGGTGTGCGTCCTCCCCCTTTGTCTCACGTAATCTTCCCTCTCGGCCAATCACACGCGCTCCTTGAAGTTTACGCGAAGCAGCCTATAAGAACTGCCGAGGTCTCTCAAGTATCAGAAAAGTTTTGTCCTCCCGGAGCCCCATCTATGGATACTTTGGAGTGTTCCTGAGGCGCGCAGAGCAGCACGAGTGGACTAACGGGCTGGACTTCATGTCAGGGACTTACTTTTTCTATAGACTTTGCTTTGGCCACCATCAACCCAAGTGGTGATGTCTGAGGAAAATATGGGTGAGGAGTCAGGCAGCTCCCCTGTTTCTCCTGTGGACAGCTTGAGCAACAGCGAGGGGGAGCTGGATAGACAACCGAAGCGCAGTGGGAGGAAGAGGAGACCGGGTAGGAAAAACGGGGAGGACTCTGATAGCCCTACCCCTGGGAAGCGAGGCAAGAAGTCCAGCAGCAGCAGCAGCCCCCAGTCCTTTGAGGAGCTCCAGTCTCAGAGGGTCATGGCCAACGTGAGGGAGCGACAAAGGACCCAGTCTCTCAACGAGGCGTTCGCGTCTCTGCGCAAAATCATCCCCACGTTGCCATCGGACAAGCTGAGCAAAATACAGACACTCAAACTCGCCGCTAGGTACATCGACTTCCTTTGCCAAGTTTTGCAAAGCGACGAGCTGGACGCCAAAATGGCAAGTTGTAGTTATGTGGCGCACGAGAGGCTGAGCTACGCGTTTTCCGTCTGGAGGATGGAGGGCGCTTGGTCCATGTCAACATCCCACTAGCACAAGGAGAGACTAGAATGAACACTATGCCCAAAATGGTACGCTTTTGTTTGTCTTTTTGCCTTTTTTTTTAAAGATAGACAAAACAAGATATATATATATATTTTTTTTCCTATCTAATTTTGTTAAGCACTTTGAGTTGCCTTGTGTATATATGAACAGTGCCATACAAATAAAAGTGAATTTACAAGCAGGGCTGTATTACGATGTGTTTTTTTTTTTTGGTTTTTTTTGCTGCACACACGTTTCCCCATCATATTGCATAACTATTACTTCACGACTTGGATCGCAGCCTTCACTTTTTCTTTCTTTTTTTTATATGTCACTATATCACATATGGTTCTTCAGTCAATGATGTCATAATAACCAGTCCGTTCTTGATCCACAGATGACTGCTGATATTTCATTCCGACGGGACAATTCTGGAGTCATGCTGGATACATGGAAATCACTATTTAAACAAAGACGACGTATACACGCAGAAAGCAGAGGTTGGGGGGTTTTATTACGCACAGGCCCGTTACGCGTAAAAAAAAAAATAGTCCACGACCCAAATCTGGAATGCTCTTCTTTGTTGACGACGAATGTTCATATTGTCATTTCTATAGCTGAGAGAGTTTAAATGCATGCCCTTTTGGACTTGTTATGCCCAGGTCTTGAAGATTCTCTGGGAATCTGTGTTGGCCTCCTGTGTGGATCAAACCTGTGCAAAAAAAAGATGTTCAGAATACATTTATTTATTTATTGGTGAAACATGTTGCATTGAACAAAAACATATTGTGTCTGATTAAAAATACATTCCTATTTTTATCATGTTTGTGTATATATTTGTATTTTTGCAATAAAGAAAAATGCAATCGACAACATCTGTGTTTATGTGTTAATAATGTATTCATTTTGAAGAGGATTATTTTGAAAATGTTAAAAATATATTTCAGCTTCATGTGACAGGGCCTTTGCAGTGTTTGGAGCAGCCTTTAGCATACATTCAAATTCTGACGTTATTTGTGGATATATGAGATTGTTTTGGGCAATGAAAAAGACACTATACTTGGCCTGTTTGGCCAAAAGTAACATTTTCTGAAAATATCACAACATGTTTTAAACTTGAGCCAGAAGTTTTATTCTACTTATTAAAACAAGTACATTGCAAAAGTGAAATTATTTTTGCTTCATCATTGCCTGTATTTCACATCAAATTAACATAATTATTATTGTTATTATTATTTTATTTTTTACAATGTCTCCAAAACCAATGCAAAATGAATGGATGTATTGCATAAATGTGAGCTATATGCAATCATTCATTTGATTTATATCTTGGTCCCTCAGTGGGGAAATGTCAGTTTTGCATCACAAGTTACAGGACTCTACTTGAAAAAATAAATATACAATATATTTAGCTTAATGAATACAAAGTGTATTCCTGATGTTGACGTATATAAACAATACTAATGTACTGATAATTATGACAATACGTGAAAATATGGGGCGTAAAAACCCAAACACAAATCGTGGTAAGATATTTTGTGAATGTGTCCCATGCGCTTTCCTTTTGAACAGCGGATTATCACTACATCAATGTTAGCTGCATTGTCCTGATAGGGAAGTGTTTCTAACTGTCCAAATCAAAGGGTGTACGTGTGTGTTTATGTGCGTGCGTGAGTGTGTGCGTGTACGTGTGTGTGAAAGGTGTGTAATTGACTTTTGAGGCATGTGTGGAATTCCCAGATGTCTATGAAACTTAAGGAGGCCGCGGAGGTATCTGCAAAGTGTGCGTTTTCAAAGGACACAAAACCTTGACACGCTCTGGCTCCAAAAAATAACACTCTGGCATCAATTAGACGTAAGGACGTTATAACACGCTGCAATAATTAAATACAGACGCGTAATTCAACGTATCCCATTTAATTACACGTGCAGAGAAATCACAACAACGCAATAAAAATACATACATTCATACACGCATGCTCCCGTGCTCTTATTGGAAAGAGAGAGTTGGCCATTGACAGGATGCAGAGGCACAGAATGAAACCTATTTAGACCAGATGTTAGTATTTTTCAAAAAAACGTCACGTGAAATGAGCAGATGTTCCTAGTGCAGCCCCGACACAGTGCATTCTGCAGAAGGCTCCAGAGCGCAGCGCCTCTCACACGGACCCGGGACCAGACCTGGCGTCCTTTTTCCAACAGAGAGGCCAAATATACGGATTAAATCACACCAGCAACAAGCAACAACAGCCGCTGACCTCCTCCGAGAGCAGGTACGAAGCAAAAGCCCTATACACGTCTTTGTCTGACGGCTGAGGCCTGAGCCAGCCGTGTGAGGAGACGGTTGTGTGTTGCTGTGTGTGTGTGATAGAGTAAAGAAACTATTGCGGCTATTATTATAATTCCAAATGACAGTGCGGAGGTTTCTTTGGCGCAGTTTTGTGCGTGCGCGCGTGGGGGGAGGGCGCAGAGGGAGTTGGCCACTGCGCATTTATCATGGAGCGAGAAGGAGACAGAGGCCGTGCAGCAGTCATACGACGACTACTACTACTACCACTACCACCACCACTACTATCACTAATACTATTATTACTACTACCACTTCTACTACTATACTTCAGACCAAAAGCTATATATAAAAAATCAATATGGCTTATTCTAGTTTTTTGACCTAATTGTTTAGAGCAATTTGTTAGATTTGTTTGCTTTAATAATACATATTTTTTAAACAGTTCATATTGACCAAAAGTAACTGTATAATATGCCATGAGTTAAAATATATAAGATAAGACACAGCTTTTTTTGTCCCTCAGTGGGCACATTACAGCAGAATAAAAGGAGAAATAAAAACATTCAGGTTTAGGAGATTACTGTAGATAGTAAAATCGTAAATTAATAAAGTAATCCACTCTGCAAAAGGTAAAGTTTTCATGTATAGGCCGTTGCCTGGTATGCAGAAGATAGCCTATTAAAATGAATCACATTAAATAACTTCTCCTGTGCACCCACATGTCAAATATTATTCTACTGAACTACAGCAAGGGACAAACCAAAAGAATGTAAACAAAAATCCTTAAAGTAACCATCTACAACAGTTCCTTGAATTATGCTTCAGTGTACAGTCATATGTGACGTATTTTAGGCAGTGGGAAGAATCACAACACATGCAGGTTATTAAGAACACATGTAAATAATAGAAATAGAATAATTACAAAAAACCCACAAGTTGCCATTTATAAAACAATAAAAATACATTAATGAAAGCAGAATAAAATTACACATGCAGTCAACTTAAATTAAATGTTAAAATTATAGAATATTTATTTTATAAAATTATTATTCACACTATTTTTAATATTGTCAATTATTATATAATTGCTAATTTATTATTATTATGGTTATTATTATTAATATTGATATTGATATTGTTTTCAATATTATCAATATAATCTATGGATCAATGACTCCTATTTGTTTTCTTATTATTGATGGAATGTTAGTTTGATTCTCTGATTTGTTGTTGGCCAATCAACAACTTTGTAAAGTCCTTCGAGACGACTGCTGTTGTGATTTAGAACTTTACCAAACACATTGAATTGAATTACCATTATTATTTTAATTATTCTTATTATTAGTAGTAGTAGAAGTATGTTAGTATTTGCAATAGTATTAATTTACTGTTTATTTTTTGTCGTTAAAATAGTTACGTCTGTATTATTTAGTATTTAACAGTATTTAAAAGTGCTAAAGTGCCAGAGCAGGTGTGACGAGGCCCTGTACAGCACTAACACTTTGCACATGCTCCACAACTGAAGTCAAACCATCAGGGACAAGTGCCTCTGCGCCTGAACACAAAACAGACCTGATTCCTCACACACATTTACATCCAGAATACACACACGCACACTCTCTACTCTCCTGATTAAATATGTGTACCATTAGAGGGTCTTGTCGACACAGTATTACACGTTTGAAAGAGTGTTGGTATCAGTTACAGCTCTCAACAAAACCACATTGGAGATATTCTTTTTGCATTACGACTCAGACACCTGCTAATAATACGGAAAAAGCCAAAATGTCTGCGTCAAAGGAGGTCCAGCAAAGCAATATGGGGCTAATTGTGAATTTCTCCATTGTGAGATCAGTAAAGTTTATCTTATCTTATTTAATAGTGTCAATGAATGAACTCCTGAGTAATGTTAATCTTTAGGAGCTAGCGTTTTATTAAGAAGTCTGTTGCTAAATAGGGTTAGGGTTAGGGTTGCCAATAGTAGATAGTGGATTATACTTTAATCAATAACAAAAATACATGGAAGAAAAGTACGTCAGAATAATATAGGGGGAGACGTTTGTGGGAAGCCAAATCGCTGTATAGAAAGTGTCCTGGACTTAGGAGCTTGTGAATCAATTCTGCTACTTTGGCACCTGAAGGGTTAAATGTCTATTTTGTGCCAGGACACTCGACATCCAATGACATTTGCGGACTTCGCTAACGTTTATGGACATTAATCATCTGCCCCTTATGGACCAATGGCTCTATATGTTTTTTATATAACTACATTTCTTATGCTTGAACTGTTTGATTCTCTGTGTTGGCAAAATCGTAAAGTCCTCCGAAATAACTGCTGTTGTGATTTAGGGCTATACAAGAAGATATTGAATTGAATTGACTTTGTATCCATATAACTAGTTTGCACCATGAACCAAAGCAAATTCCTAGTTTGTGGCCTTCCTGTTACTTACAATGGCAATAAAATAATTCTGATTCTGGTAAACGTAAGTGAACGTCATTAAGATTGGGCTGATGTAAATAACACATTAGATTTTTGCATAGGCACACCCTTATCAATGTGGATGTTGGCTTCTAAAACAGATATTGTAATAAACAACAACCATTTAGTTGTTAATTAAGTTAAGTTACCATGCCCTATATGTACAGTATGTAATGTTGCACAATTTTAAAAGATTGATATTGAAGCATTTACAGCTAGCAAAGAAACATAGCAGCTACTTATTTTGTACATTTTGTGTGCTCCCTGTGTGCGCCTACTGCTGTCCTGCATGTGCGCTGCAACATTGAAATTACCCCACTGTGGAATGGATAAAAAATCTCTTACTTACTAAAGCTCAACGTTGAAACCAAAAAAAATAAAAAATAAAAATCAAATCCATATGACCCATTCCTTGCTCTCAGAACAGTTTGGTTCTATTACCAGGATATATTGCATGTATTTGTTGTCTCCGTCAAGTCTTAGGATCAGCTTTTTTGGACAGAAACCTCAGAGAGAGGACCTTCCTCAATTAGCCAATCAGCTCTCGGCCCAAAAACTCAAAAATGGTCTCACTGGACTAAGTCAAGTATATGTAAAAGATATGTGATACATGTGCACATAAAGTGAGGTACCCCAGCTTTAAGTTTAGTGCATTTGTCATTATTTATTTAAGGACAAAATGTGTAGATCAGAATGATGGTTATAGCCTATAAAAATCACTGCCAGAAAGTTGAAAACCATCCATATATTTTTTAAATGTAATTTACTTTACTTGTCTGAAGAACAGCAACTGCTGCTGTGCGGTTGTTTTTCTACCCACATTCAATCATTTTATCAAATCACTTCAATTCAATTCAATTTCTTTTGTTAAAGCTCTAAACAGCAGACGTCTCAGATGACTTTGCGAGGTTGTTGATTGGCCAACCACAGTCCAGAGAATCAAACTATTCGAAAACAGACAAAGCAATGATGACAAACACACAGAGCTATTGGTCCAGAGGGAGCGGGATGACCACTGTCCATAAATGTCCATAAATGTCCTTTGTCAGTAAAAACATTTCACATTCAGAATTTGCTTTGGCCTTAAGCACAAATAAAAGAATGAGGATTGTTTTTATGTTTTTTTTAATGTACATAACTAAGTAAGGCAGATAAAATATGTGTTTTTTAACTTTGCAAATTGCACAGTTGGAGTTGCCTCACACTGGTCTGAGTGGCTGCAGAGCGAGTTGGTCTTCCAGAGTTTGATTATAGGCTGAACCACACTGTCCTGTTTACAAGTGTCAGAATGTGTGCCACCCAGGCGCAGGCGGCCAGAGCCCAGAGCCAAGGAGCACAGGGACTTCTGCTGGAGCCACTGCAGACACAGGGACAGGTCAAGCTGAGAAAACAAAATAAATTAAATTTTTCTTTTAAATGTACAAGAATAAATGAAAGTGTTCTGGAATACATTAGCAAAACATTGTTAAACTGTTTTGTTAGTTAATTAAGTTGAGTTAAAGCTGGATGTTGAAACCGCACAAAAGTAACACAATCTATGTTACCAGCTCCAAGCTCTAAACAGTTTGGTTCTTTCACCATTTGCTGCACTTCTCTATAGATCAGCTTTTTCAGACAGAAACGTGGAAAAAGACAGGAGCACCCTCACTCAGCCACTCAGCTCTTGACCCAATGAGTTAAAAATGTGACTCCCAGGGCCAGGTCAAGACTGCAAAAGATTACTGGCAAGAAAGAGTGAAAGTGTGCTTGACAAAACAACTAAATGTGGAGATTTCTGCAAATCTGTGTCAAGTTCCTTTAATGGTATATTCATCATAGATCTCAGCGCGTACTAAAAAACTAGCAAAACTGATTTATTATTGCTCTAAAATCTTATTTTCCACCTGCAGTTTCTCTCTCGGTTTCTCACTTTTTTCCTGTTTTTGAGTTGGTCCTTGCAGATATACGGACGTTGAAGGCAGTTTTCGGAAGTTTATGGACATTTATCAACACCTTTGCATATCGGTCATTCCGCTGCCTATGACACCATTGTGTTTATTATTAATGTATTACTGCGTTTGAACAGTTTGATTCTCTGATCTGTTGCTGGTGAATTGACAACTTTGTAAAGGTCTCTGAGACAACTGCTGTTGTGATTTAGGGCAACATTTTCTTAATTTTAATCAGAGTAGACTTATCATAGCAACAACACATCCTCCCTAAAACCTTTTCGTGATGGCAGTTTAAGAAAAATAAAACCAATAGGTGTCAATAAGTTCTGCAAACTTAAAGCTGTACTTAAAGCTGGGATTCCTATCTTTTCCCTGTAAATAATATACTTATTTTTTTACATTTTATGAACAATTAAGACCACAACATTCAGTCTTCATCTGAATACAAAACAGTTACATACTTATACTTGTGTTGTAGAAATTGAACACTTTAATAAGAAAGAACCCTGGGAGCCAGTTTTTTGTCACTTTGTGCTGAGAGCTGATTGGCTGAGTGAGAATGATCCTCTG